AGAATCTACATAACAAAGACGAATAAAAAAAATTCTGAAAAAGCTTTTTTTTTTCTACTCTGTTAGTAATTTTAAAAGTAACTCTAACTCTAAAACACATTCCACAATATCTTAATATAGTAGAAATGAGCATATAAACCTAAAACAACGCAAAGTTGCTGACCAACAGCAAAAACATAAGCAATACCAACAACATTAACAATAATAGCAACAAAAACAATAACAGCAACAATAGTGGAAACAACTTGAAACAACAATTGTGAGCATTTTTCGGCAGCGATTGTAGGTAGGTGCAGTTGCTGTTTAAATGAAATATGACCACTGAGAACAATTGAAAAACAGCAACTTTAGAATTTTTTTATACATTTTCATAGCTCAACTATCAACAAGCAACAGAGATATTTAACTGGAGCACACATACGTACACATACGTAGATACAATTTGTTGTCTTTTTTAACTTGGTAACAATTTGTACGTAATGCAATTCGAAATGGCAGTGATTTACCACATAATTGACTCAATACCTGGTTGATTATCATTCTTCAGGTCTTAGGTTATTTTTTCGATATTAGATTGCTTTTCATTACATAGGTACGTACATATGCTGTACTAAAAACAATTTAGTACAATATACAATTTCCTCACATTTTAATGAAACATAAACTGTGGAAGGTATTCAATAAGGTAATATAAATAGATTATCTGCTATTTTTTATATATCTATTATTTATTTTTTTAAATTTGAATATATGGAATTAATCTATGCATAGAATTTTGTGTAGTTTTTTAATATATATTAGTATTTATTTTATATGTATTTAATAATTTGTTGTTAAAGATAATATAAATAGAATTGCTCATTCTGTCTTGTATTTGCAATTAAACAAGTCGTAGTTACAAACTTCATTGTAATTGTAGACATGCAATAATAAAAAAGAACTTGTAATAAACTAGTTATAGTTCAAAAGTCGATAAACAATTTTATTATAATATATAGCCTTGAATTGAAAAATTCCTTTTCATTTTCTGTTACAATTGTTAAAGCTGTGCTTAGTTTTTTATGCAATTTTATTTGCAGTTGAATCTATTTTAATTATTTTTTATATTTAAGATTTTATAGCAAATCATATATATTTATTTTCAATATAAAACACCGCAAAGTTAATGTTTTGTGTACGAAAATGACTAAAAATTAGTCAATAGTTAACTTTAGGGTACCAATTTTTGACTTAGTTTACTCTTTCGAAATGGTTTTGATATTTTTAAACTATTAATAAATATAGTAAGTATTTCGTTCTAAATTTTGTCCATATATAATTTTCTTTAATAATATGTATTTAATTTAGTTTTTAGTAACAACTTATTATTAACATTTAATTAGGAGCATAGTAAAATAGTTTCTAGTTTCGGAAAAATTTTTACTTTCGTTAAAATAGTTAAGAGGAATTACAGATGTATGATGTTAGACCTTATAATGATACAACTGTGTAATGAAACAACTGTTATTTAGCATTGAGCATTGGTGTTCATTCTCCTATTCCCATTCTTTCATTAGTATTCAATAAGTGCATAATGTATTTATTAGCATTATTAGCAAAAAATACAAATTATTTATATAGAATAACTAATCAATTAATTAATTATTAATATTATTAATATTAATAAATAATTTGAAATTATAACAAAATAAAATATATTAACAAAATAAAATTTTGTTAATAATTAATTATTTGTATAACTTGCAATATTGCTTCAAAGCTGCAAACTATTTTAAAATATATAATTATATGCGATATTTAATTGTAATATAATATATATACAATATAATTATATACGAACATGCAAAATAATATTGCAAGAAAATGAATAATAATATAGATACTTAATTGTTAACGTTTACAATAGTACATTTACAATAGATTTAACTAAAAATAGTTGAAATTTATTATTTTACATGCATAATACCTTGCAATGGAATATCAAGGTTAAATAATTTTCAGATATGTGCCAGGGTTAGAATTTGACAGGTACGAGTTCTAAGCCTGGGATTTGCAGTCCAAAAAAATTATATACGGATTAAGACTACTGATGATGAGTAAGTTAAGTTTTGTTCTTGTCTTTTCTTTCTATGCGATCCCATCTAACTTTTAAAAATAGTTTCTTTGTCGTCATAAGAAGAGTAGCTTGCGGGAAACATTTAAATATTTTTTGTTATATTTATAGTAAAAAGTACTAAATATGCTATATGAATTGCTATTTTCTTAGCAGTGGAGCTGTGTCTTCCAAAAATATTTTCTGAAATGTATAGTATTAACATATTAAGGTGATTAAGGTATGAGGAGTGTATTGATATTACTATCAAGTAAGATATAATTTTTATATTTACATCAACAAAATAAAATTATTTTCTTTTTTGTAAATGGGAAGTAATAAATATGAAAACACTTGCAAAATTAGATATTTAACGAAGTTCAATGTTGTATCATATTATTTAAAGTCTTGTTTATAACATTTCTAAGGAAAAGGGTATTAAAAATGTAATACATCTACTTAACATTTAATTAGTTACAGATTTATTTATTTAAAATTACATAATACTATTGAAACAAAATTTTTGCTATCATATACGAGTACATCCTCTCCTCCAAACGTTAATGAATATTTCAAAATCACAATGCAACAATGAAAGTAATACTTCACAAAGTTTGGATTATAAATTAAAATTATATACTTTCCTTTCAAATGTAATTTGAGTTAAATCTGTTTTAATGAATAAAATTAAATAATTTGGCACAAAAAAAATTTTTGTATAAATTTTTATAGTATGTATAAATTTACTAAATTAGTGTTC